GGGTCTATGGTTTCCAGGAATGAACCTCATGTGGTCGGGCTTGCATGCAAGCCTCTTTATCCACTGAGCCCTAGAGTCAGCCCTTCTCAAATTGATCTACACTTTGTAAATAAGACAAATCAGACACTTCTTTCAGCCCACTCCATTCCCTCCCAGACACTGTATGAAAGATAAATGTCAAGTTTATTTATTCTTGATATACTTTCTCTTCCTTCCTTCCTTCCTTCCTTCTTTTCTTTTCTTTTTTTCAAGACTGGGTTTCTCTGTGTAGCTTTGAAACTTGTTCTGGCACTCACTCTGTAGACTGGCCTGGAACTCACATCGATCCTTCTGCCTCCCAAGTGCTGGGATTAAAAGTGTGCGCCACCACTACCTGGCTCATTCCTTTTCCTTTTCCTTTTCTTTCTTTTTTTCTTTTTGTGGTGGTGGTGTGGTGGTGTGGTGGTGGTGGTGTGGTGGTGGTGATGGTGGTGGTGGTGGCGGTGGTGGTGGTGTTGTTCAAACTCAGGGCCCATGCTTGCTGAGTGCTCAGTCACTGAGCAACATTCCAGCATATTCCTTCTTTGTTTCATTCACCACCTGATGCTGTCCCCTTCAGTTGCAGCTCTTTAATCATTTAAAACTGTCTTTATAAGGTCAGTGGCACATATCTCTAATCCCAGCACTCCTTTGGAGATAGATTTCCAGGACAGCCTGGCTGCCTCAAAAAAAAAAAAAAAAAAAAAAAAAAAAAAAAAAAAAAAAGAAAAAGGAAAGCAAAAATCTTTGTGAAATATTTATTTATGGAGAATCAAAGGTGCAATAAAATCACTTCTAAGCCTGTGCAACAAAAATATGGGCAATATTTACATCATAAATCCAGATCTCAGCACCCCACCCCCACCCCTTTAAAATATTACATCTGCAAGCATCACTGACTTCTCAGCAGGGAAGTAAGGCTTATTATCCTTATTAGGAATGACAGTGGAGGAGGAGCAAGTCTTCAGATCTTCTCTGGCCAGTCTTCAGGAGAGCTATAAACTTGAGAAAGAATCAGACTTGTAGTTCCAGGCTAACAAAAAGAGTCTTCCTTCATCCACTGGATTAACTTGTACTCACTCCAGACTACTCAAGTCCTTCCTTTTGTCTAACCAAGTACTCAGCACCTACAGGGGCAAGGCCAGAAACAAACCAAGAACCTTAAAGCCACATAGGAGAATGTGCAATTTCATATTTTTTTTTTTTTTTTTTTTTTTTTTTTTTTTTTTGGCAAACAGATAAGACTACACTTTAAAATGTGATGCTTCCCCAAAGAGAAATCTTTATATGTCTCCTTGAACTTACAATGTCTTATCTCCCAAAGATGGGAACTATACATGTACATTAGTATTCACAGATGTAGCGATCAAATCATGGACAGTGGACCCAGCACCTGACTTGCTTTTAGCTTTACAACTTGGGCCTCTGAAAGCAGAAGTTCCCAGGATTTGCTCATTCCCTGCCATCTTGCTGCTGGTCTTCCCAGATAACCTCATGCCACCGTGTATTAGATATGCCAATCCTGAGGGTACATCAACGCTTCAGGTCCTTCAGTCATCTCTGATGAGAAGCTCCAAGAACACACGGTCACCTCCACATCATCTTTAGTCTCACAGGCTTCACACATCAGATTCCAGAAGCTGCACCCCCTTTCTTGTACCACTTTGTTACAGTACCTGGATCTGCTCCAGGACTTCACGCTGCATCTCCACAGCCATATGGTAGATGTGATGGTCAGAGTCGTTGTACATCACGGCATTCTGGAACATCAGCATCAGATCCCGCTGGAACTCAGCCATGGTGTGAATGCGTCCCTTAGACACATTCCTCTTCAGGGTTGTTAAGTCCATGGGTCTGCAGGAGCAAGAGGACATCAAACCTTAGTGGGTAAGATCTAATGAACTGCAATCATGAGTCTGAGGACAGCTTGAGCTACAGTGAGTTACAAGCCAGCATGAGTAAGAGTCTGTCTCAAAACAGACAGACAGACATAGACAGACCAAAAATGTGATGTCTATCACAAGCTCTTTGAGAACTTGTTCTTAGTGAAAACAGCAGCTGTACTGGTTCCTCTTGTTTTATTTTTTGTTTTGTCAACTTGGCACAAACTAGGGTCATCTGGGAAGAGGGAACCTCAACTGAGAAAATGTCTCCATTAGACTCTTCTGTGGGCATGTCTGGGGCATTTTTTTTAAAAATGAATGATGGATGTGAGAGGTCCCAGCCCACTGTGTGTGAGTGCCACTCCTGGGCATATGGTCCTGAGTTCTATAAGGAAGTAAGTTGAGCAAGTCATGAGGAGCAAGCCAGAAAGAAGTACCCTTCCAGGGCCTCTGCTTTGGTTCCTGCCTCCAAGTTCCTGACTTGAGTTTCTACCCTGATTTCCCTGGATGGTGGAATAAACCTGTAATAAACCTTTTTCTCCCCCAAGTTGATTTTGTCCATGGAATTTATCATAGCAATGGAAAGCAAACTACAAGGGTAGCAAAGCTATCAATTTTCATAAAATAATAAAATAGCAGCTGCAGATACTGATCCTTTATAAAGGTCAAGCACTATGTTCAGCTCATTCTATGGTAAATTAGTCCTCTCAATAAACATACAATGGAGGCATTACTTACCAACTCCATCATTTTGGGGGCACTGAGTATTGAACCTAGGGCAGTGGTTTTCAACCTGTGGGTCAAGACCCCTTTGGAAGCTGAACAATCCTTTCACAGGGATTGGATATCAGATATCCTGCATATTAGATATTTATATTATGATTCATAACAGTAGCCAAATTATAGCTATGAAGTAGCAATAAAATAATTTTATGGTTGGGATCATCAGAACATGAGGAACTGTATTAAACGTCACAGAGTTAGGAAAGTTGAGAACCACTGACTTAGGTAGGGCCTTACACATCCTAGACAAGTACCTTCCCATTAAGCCTTTTTGTTTGGGTTTTCTTTTCTTTTCTTTTCTTTTCTTTTCTTTTCTCTGTTTTTTGAGAAAGGGTTTCTCTGTGGCTTTGGAGGCTGTCCTGGAACTTGCTCTGTAGACCAGGCTGGTCTCGAACTCACAGAGATCCAACTGCTTCTGCCTCCTGAGTGCTGGGATTAAAGGCGTGCACCACCAACGCCCAGCGTAAGTTCCTTTTTTATTGGTTGCTTTACTGTTTGTTTGTTTCTGTTTTTAGACAGGATCTATCAAAGCAGCCCTGGCTGTCTGGAACTCTCTATGTAGACCAGGCTGGCCAGAATTCAGAGATGAACTTACTCTGCTCCTCAGAGTGCACTACCACACCTAGGTCTAAGTTGATGGGGTTTTATGGTTTTTTTGTTTGTTTGTTTTTTGTCTGGTTTGTCTTTTTGAGACAGGGTTTCTCTGTGTAGCCCTGGCTGTCCTGGAACTCACACAGTAGTCCATACTGGCCTCAAACTCAGAGATCTGCCTACCTCTGCCTCCAAAGTACTGGGATTGAAGGTATGTGCCACCACTGCCTGGATAAGTTGATTTTTCCAAAGTATTTTTTATTTTATTTATTTTTATTTCATTGCATTGGTGTTTTTGCCTGCATGTATGTCTGTATGAGAGTGTCAGATCCTCTGGAACTGAAATTACAGACAGATGTGAACTGTCATATGGGTGCTGGGGATTGAATCTGGGTCCTCTGGGAAGAACAGCCAGGGCTTTTAGCCACGGAGTCATCTCCCCAGCCCCTTTCTAGAGTATTTTTATCACAGCAACACAAAGTAACTAATACAGAAACTGGCACCAGCAATGGAGCAGTTGCTATAATAAGCCTTACTATAAGAATTTTAGGTCTTGGCCAGGCAGTGCACACCTTTAATGCCAGCACTCGGGAGGCAGAGGCCAGCCTGGTCTCCAGAGAGAGTACCAGGACAACTTCCAAAACTACACAGAGAAACCCTGCTTGGGGTGGGGGGTGATTTTAGGTCTTTGAAACTAATTTGGAAGAAGGAAGTGAAAGAGCTGGAGGCAATTCAGGTTTTATTCTGGCAAAGAATTTGGCTATATTCTGCCAATGTCAGGTACTTGAGGGAAGCTCAATTAAAAAGTCCTGGACTAATTTATTTGGCAGAGGAAATTTCAAGGCAGGAAAACATGAGGTTATTTCTTGCTCACTGATTTCATTCACATCTATGATGAAAAAGCAGCAAGTGGAGCAAAAGAAATAAAAACTGTGAAGTTTGGCAAGGGAGCATGCACAAGTAAGACTAGAGTTGTCAACAAGGAGAGTGCAGACAACAACACGCCTTTAATTGTTAAAGAGAAACCGCTTCCTCTGCACTGAGACAATAAGGAACAGCCTTGGAGCTACAGCAGTGGCTAAGCCGCCCTTGTGTGAAGCTGTGAAGATGGATCTAAATTCTAACACAGTCTCTAGGATATTGAAGTCCATGGACCATGACATCTCTACTAAAGATAGATAGACATGGAATGGAGTTCTCCAAGAGAGAATCTATGTGTGTTATATATAGACAGCAGAATTTTTGGAGCCCAGATGAACATTATAGCACCAGATGCTGAGCAGAGAGTCACAGGATTTGGTGTTTGCCCTACTAGATTTCAGGCTTGCTTCCTTTTTTTTTTTTTTTTGGATTTTTCAGAGAGGGTTTCTCTGTATTGCTTTGGAGCCTGTCCTGGAACTCGCTCTTGTAGACAAGGTTGGTCTCGAACTCACAGAGATCCGCCTGCCTCTGCCTCCCAAGCACTAGGATTAAAGGCGTGCACCACCAATACCTGGCTCATTCTTCCCTTTTAAAGTAGGAATATACACTCTGTGCCATTGAATATTGTAAGTATGTAACTCATTTTTTTATTTACAGAGGGTCACAATTAGGAGATGGGCTGGCCAGATGGCTCAGCAGGTAAATGAACATACTTGCCGTACAGGCCTGACAGCCTGAGTTCATTTCCTGGAGCACATGGTGTTGGGAGAAAACTGTTGACTGAAAGTTGTTCTCTGACCTCCTGTAGCACATACACGGATATAAGTGTGTGTACACATGCTCACAATACACATAAGAATAGTGGATAATAATAGTATTTAAAAATTAAAACTCCAGGAATGGTGCCACACACCTTTAATCCTAGCGCTCAGGAGGCAGAGGCAATTAGATCTCTGGAGTTCAAGGCCAGCCTGGTCTACATAGCAAGTTCCAGACCAGTTAGAGACACACAGAAAAAAAAAAAAATCAGTTAGAAGAAAGCTGGTCCTGAGTTTTAGAAATTTCAGATGGAGATTTTAAACTTTTGAAAAGTTGGCACTGTTAAGGACTATGGGGATTTTTGAAGTTTGACTGAATGTTTATTAGAAGGGTAAACTAAATTATCCCCACGAGCTTACAGGAACAGGATTGAATAGTATTTTAAGTCTCCCCCATAAACTCAGACTCAGGTATTTGAGTATTTAGTATGCAGCTGGTGACACTGCTTGGAAAAATTATGGATTTTTTTTTCAGGAAAGGATTTTTGTGTATCCCTGGCTGTCCTGGAACTCACAAAGTAGACCAGGCTGGCCTCGAACTCACAGAGATACACCTGCCTCTGCCTCCGGAGTACTAGGATTAAAGGCATGCACCACCACTATTATTCTAAAAGTTATGTAGCTTTTAGAACAATGAACCCCATGGGGGAAGTGGGTCACTAGGGGATAGGCTTTTGGGCTTTATAGCCTGGCCCTATTTCCTGTCCTCTCTCTGCTTCTTAAGTGTAGATACAAGGTATGCGGCCCGCTGTTTGTTCCTACAATCATGCCTTCCTTGCCTGTCTTCCATTTCACAATGGACTATAAACATCTGAAACTGAAAGTAAAAACAAGCCCTTTTCTCTTAAGTTGCTTTTTTTCAGGGTATTTTATCACAGCAATGGGAAAGTAACTAAAAGGGACAGAAAAATGGCTTAGTATGTGGAAGGGTTTGTATCAAACCTGATGGATGGCCTGAGTTCAGTGCTCAGGATCCCACTGTAGAAGGAGAGAACTAACTCCCAGAAGTTGTTCTCTGACAAAACTTGAAGGCCTCAGAGTACATGCCCACACATAATACATACATTCTCACACACATACAATCTAAATAAATAAATATAACTATGCCAGGCATCGGTGGCGCATGCCTTTAATCTCAGCACTCAGGAGGCAGAGGCAGGCGGATCTCTGTAAGTTCAAGACCAGCCTGGTCTCCAGAGCAAGTGCCAGGATAGGCTCCAAAGCTACACAGAGAAACCCTGTCTCGAAAAACCAAAAAAATAAAAAATAAAAATAAAAAAATAAATAAATAAATAAATAAATAAATAAAATGTAACTATGACAAATGGTATAAATCCAATGATCTCTGCCACCACCAGATTTTTTTTTTTTTTTTGAGACATGATCTTAGCTATTAAACCTTGGCTGTCCTGGAACTCACTATATAAAACAAGCTGGCCTCAAACTCACAGGGATCCACTTGTCTCTGCCTCCCTAGTGCCGGGATCAAAGGCGTGTGCCACTATACCCAACTACATCTTTTTAAAAAAGATTTACTTATTTGTATATTATGTGTATGAGTGTTTTGCCTGCATGTGTGCACCATGTGTGTGCCTCAGAAGAGGGCATCAGACCCTCAGAACTGCAGTTACGGGTGGCTGTGAGCCACCATCTGGGTTCTGGGAACTTCTATGAAAGCAGCAAGTACTCTTAGGAGCACTTAAGCACACCTTAGTTAAGCTCATCAAGGCTTCAGCTAACATGCTGAAGATTGTGTATCCATATATTGCATTGTGGGTACCTGAACCTGAAGTCAATAAATGAATTAACCTACAAGCATCATTATAACAAAATCAATAAGAAGCAAATTGTCTTGATA